AGATCCAGCAGGTGGTTGCCGACTTCGTCGCGGCCGCCAAACGCGCCTTGACTGCGGGTTTCAAGGTGGTGGAGATCCACGCGGCCCATGGCTATCTGCTGCACCAGTTTCTGTCGCCACTGAGCAATCAACGTCAGGACCAGTACGGGGGCTCGTTCCAGAATCGCATTCGATTGGTGTTGCAAGTGACCGAGGCCGTGCGCGACGTCTGGCCCCAGGAGCTACCGTTGTTCGTGCGCGTATCTGCCACCGACTGGGTGGAAGATGGCTGGAATCCGGATGAAACCGTGGAACTGGCGCGCCGCCTCAAAGCGATCGGGGTGGATTTGATCGACGTTTCGTCCGGCGGCACCGCCGCCAACGCCGAGATCCCCACCGGCCCGGGTTACCAGACCCGTTTCGCCGAGCGGGTGCGCAAAGAGTCAGAAATTGCCACCGGCACCGTCGGCATGATCACCGAGCCGGCGCAGGCCGAGCACATCCTGCGTACCTGTCAGGCCGACATCATCTTCCTGGCCCGTGAACTGCTGCGCGATCCGTACTGGCCGTTGCATGCCGACGACGACCTGGGCGGGCGCAAGGCGATCTGGCCGGCGCAGTATCAACGAGCAACCCATCGCGATCAGCCAATCCATGAGTCCGATTTGAGGGATTAGCCGTCGCGACAATAAGCAACCCACCCTGATCCGGTGGGTTTTTTATTGCCCTGAGTATGGGAAATACCTGTAGGTCTTTGTTACCGAAGAAATTTTTTAAGTGAATGCTCTAAAAAAATCCCACGCGCGATCAGAATGTTTCTACGCTTACGGTAAGCCTGATTTCTGGCCCAGGAAATCAGGCGGCTTGCCCACTGAGGCATTGCGCTTCACGGGACGCAGGTGATGGGCGCCAGGAGTATTTGATTGTTATCAGGAGAAGCAGTCCATGGCCAAGTCCTATGGTGTAGCGGGTATGGTGGCGTCATTTCTGACCCGCAGGGTGGCGTTGCGAGGTCGAAGGCTGAGTTCGGATGAAGAGGCGCTGTTGGCGCAGTACCGCGCCCTGACCGAGGATGACCAGGTGGCGATGCGGTACTTGATTGGAGCGATGAAAAGCGTGTCGCGATTCTGAATCGCGGTTCAATCATGGGGGAGCGAACGCTCCCCCATGGTGCATCAGGTGTACTTGCGTTGGTCCGGTGCTGGCGGGAAGTACTGATACAACCAGGTTTCGCTCAAGGTGCGGTCCTGGGTGCGGATAAACAATCGCAGCTCCACCGGTTCCACGCTGTCGCTGGTCGGGTACCAGTCGAACAGAATGCGGTAGCCCTTGATGTTATCCAGTACCAGCACGCTGAAGTCCTTCACCTCGCCGTGGGAACAGGTCACCACCGGTTCGATCCCGGTGCCCTCCGGCAAGCGGTCCAGGCCGCCCCCCTTGAAGTCCACCGCGAAGCGGCGCGCCCACACCGGCGGGTAATGCTCGCCCGGTGCCCAGCCTTCGGTAAAACCGCCCATGCCGGAACGGGTAGCATCCACTTGCGCCAACGGCGTGCTTACCGGCGGCAAGGCGCTCCAGTACAACTTATAGCCGTAGTTGAGCGAGTCGCCGGCGGCCACGGGTTTCTTCGGGGTCCAGAAGGCCACGATGTTGTCCAGGGTTTCGCCGGTAGTGGGGATTTCCAGCAGGTCGATGGAGCCTTCGCCCCAAGCGGTGGTCGGCTCCACCCACAGGCTTGGGCGTTTGCTGTACCAGTCCACAGTGTCCTGATAGCTGGCGAATTCGTGGTCGGTCTGCACCAGCCCGAAGCCTTTCGGGTCGGTGTCGGCGAACGCATTGAATTGCAGCTTGGCTGGGTTATTCAGAGGGCGGCAGACCCACTCGCCATTGCCGCGCCACATGGCCAGGCGGTCCGAGTCGTGGATCTGCGGGTGGATGGTGTCGCACATGCGGCGCTCGTGGGTGCCGCAGCTGAACATGCTGGTCATCGGTGCGATGCCCAATTGTTCGATGGCCGTGCGCGCATTGATATGCGCGTCAATGGCCATCACCACCTGGTTGGCCTGGCAGTCGATATCGAAGCGGTAGGCACCAGTGGCGCTCGGCGAGTCGAGCAGGGCATAGACCACGAAGCGGGTAGCGTTCTTATCCGGGGTTTCGAACCAGAACTGCGTGAAATCTGGGAATTCTTCGCGTTTTTTCGCGTAGGTGTCGATTGCCAGGCCACGCGCGGACAGGCCGTACTGGCCGGTGGAATCCACCGCGCGGAAATAGCTGGCGCCGAGAAACGACAGCACATCATGACGGTCCAGCTCCGGCGCCTTGAACAGTTTGAAGCCGGAGAAACCCAGGTCGCCGGTCAGTTGCTTGGTGTCGACCGTAGTTTTTTCATAGTTGAACAGCGAAGGGCGGAAATGCACCTCACGGGCTTCGCGGGTCTTAGGGTCGACGCTGTGCATGCGCACCGGCGTCTTGAAGCCCATGCCGACGTGGAAGAACTGCACGTCCAGTTGGCCATTCAGCTCTTTCCACAGCGAATGGTTTCGGTCGTAGCCGATGGCGTTGAAATTCTGCGGGGTCATGCTCGCCAGGGTCGGCGGCAGCACCTGTTTGGTGTCTTTGTAGGCGGTTGCGGCCAGTTGTTTGGCCTGGGCCTTGAGCGATTCGAAGTCGAACGCCACGGCTTTCCCATCGGCGGCGCGGTTCCCGGCCCATGCTTGGGCGGCGAGCAGGCCACTGGCCGACAGACCGGTATAAGCCGCAATGGCCATGGACGCTTTGAGCAAATTCCTACGATGCATAGAGACAACCTGTCGTGAGCAAATCCCGCGCCGTTCCTGGCACGTGCTGGATCAGAAAGTACGGTTCGGACATGCCTTCGGCCAAACGCAACGAACATTAAACAGACGCCGGATAGCTTAAGCGGTTCGATGGTGTAGGAAAAATGATTGATGGCGGGGTGATGGCATTGCAAGTGCGACAAGACATTTCCGGGGCTGTGGGGCAACCACATTACTCACGAATTATGAAGCTCCAATGTGGGAGGGGGCTTGCCCCCGATAGCGGTGCATCAGCCAATTATTTCAGTGCTGACCCACTGCTATCGGGGGCAAGCCCCCTCCCACAAACAGTTTTGTATTGCCTGTCAGAGGTGTGTTTCAGGCCACTTCGCCCACGGCTCGGTAAGCCTCGTCGATCGCCGCATGCGCGTACGCACTCCAGGCCGCGTCCGAGTTGGCGATGCTCACATGCCCCAACGGTTTGCGCGCCAGGTTCATCAGCGCTTCACTTTCGTCGGCGTCATCGAACAGGCTGTTGGAAAAATACGCATAGCCATGGGACCAGCGATTCACGGTGATCGCCAGGATATCCGTCTCATGGTTGAACCCGCCCGGGCCTAGCATGCGTTGCAGTTGGTCACGTAATTGCGCTTCCAGTTGCTCGAATGTCTGCCCATACAACCGGCCGCGTCCGGCGCGGGCCTGGTCGCGGGCGTTCATGCCGCTGTTGGGGCTGGTGGGCACGTAGACCATGTGCAAGCCGATGGGCTGCGTCGGGTCGCGCGGGTGGTCGTAGCCGCCCATGCTCACCGGGTAGTCCAGCTTGATGCGGCTGTAAGGCTGGGTAGCTGCGTAGATTTCATGCACGCCCAACTTCTCAAACGCCTGCCAGTTACGAATCACCACCTTGGTGTACACCAAGGGGAATTTCACGTTCTGGCTCAACGCATGGGCCTGGGGCGCGGGCAGGCCCTTGAGCAGGTACGGAATCATCATGTTGTAGCAGGCCAGGATGCAGCGTTTGCCGCGTACTTGTGCGAGTTGGCCGCCTCGGCTGTAGCCGATATGTACGCCGTCGCCGACATTGCGCACACTCACCGCCGTGCTGTTCAAGCGCAGGCGCACCGGCGCCTTGGGTTGGTCGAGCCTGGCATAGTCGAAGGGCGCCAGCACGATATCGTCCATGGTGTGCCCCGGCGCCACCCCCGGAATCAGGCTGCGCACCAAGAGGCGCGCCAGCGACGCGTTGCCGTCCGGGAAGTGGTAGATGTAGGGCTCTTCCATTTCTGCCGCAGCTTCTTCACTGATCGGCGCCAGGTTCATCCCCGCGAAGCCAGGGAAACCGACGTTATAAGCGTCGGACGCAGCCACGGCATCAATGCTCAAGGCCATAAAGTCATTGGTGCGGCTCTGGAAGTATTTCACCGCACCTTCCGACAACCCCACGTTCTTGAGCAGGAAGTCCCGGTAGCTGGTGGCCGCCAGATAATCGGCCTTTTCCTCGGCCGTTTTGCCCGGCAAGTAGTCCTTGGGCGCAGTGTGCAGTTCGATCAACGCCTGGCGGTCCGCAGCCGGCAGTGGGAAGTCATTGATAAAGTCTTTCAGGGCGCGCCCATGCAGCTGTTCCGGGGCGATATCGTCGGCCACCATCGGCGTCGGGTCGCCGGTCACCAGTTTGTCTTCGCCGAAGTTTTCCTTGTCGAAAAATACCCCGCGCGACAGCCCCAGGCTGGGGTAGAACGGGCGGTCGAAGGCGGTTTCGAAGCGCTTGATATTCACCCCGAGCTTTTTCAACAAACCGTTCACTTGCTCGCTGAACAGGTGGGTGGGCGACTGGAAGGCTTCGCTGCCGCCATAGCCGATGATCATGCGGCCGCCGGCCTGGAACTCATTGCGTTTGGCATGGCCGCCGAAATCGTCGTGGTTTTCCAGAATCAGGATTTTCGCCTTGGGGTGCTTCTCACGGTAGAACCACGCCGCCGCCAGACCGCTCAGGCCACCGCCGACCACCACCAGGTCATAGTCCTCGGTGATCGGCAAGGTATCGGTGTCAAAGACCTTCTTTTCCCAGCCCATCTGATGCGCCACTTCGAACGAACCGACATGACTGCCGCGCAGGCCGGTGAGGGCGGGTGGGTAATAGCGACCGTCGGGGGCGGCCTGGAGAATCTGCAGCGGCGTGATGCCGGCAGCAATGGTGATGGCGACGCCGTTGAGGAAGTCGCGGCGGGTGATGTCCATGGGGGATCCTGAAAATTATTGTTATAAGCCCCCCTGCAAGCGCCTGCTTGCAGGGGGGCGGCGAATCAATGCTTGAACATCACATGCCGGACCGTGGTGTAGTCCTCCAGCCCATACATGGACATGTCTTTGCCATACCCCGACAGTTTCTGACCGCCGTGGGGCATTTCGCTGACAAGCATGAAATGGGTGTTCACCCAGGTGCAGCCGTATTGCAAGCGTGCGGCCAGGCGATGGGCGCGTCCTACGTCGGCCGTCCACACGGATGACGCAAGGCCATAGTCCGAATCGTTGGCCCAACCCAGCACCTGGGCTTCATCCGAGAATTTGGTAACCGACACCACCGGCCCGAACACCTCGCGGCGCACGATTTCGTCGTCTTGCTGGGCGTCGGCCAGCACGGTCGGTTCAAAGAAGAACCCGTTGCCTTCTACGGCCTTGCCGCCGGTGATCAGCCGGATATGCGGTTGCGCCACGGCACGTTCGACAAACCCGGCCACGCGGTCGCGATGTTGCGCGGTGATCAATGGCCCCAGCTCGGTGCTCGGGTCATCCTGCAAACCGTACTTGATACTGGCGACCGCCGCGCCGAGTTTCTCGACAAATGCGTCGTAGATGTCCGCCTGGGCATAGATACGGCACGCCGCCGTGCAGTCCTGGCCGGCGTTATAGAAACCGAAGGTGCGGATGCCTTCCACGGCGGCGTCGATGTCCGCGTCGTTGAAGATAATCACCGGTGCCTTGCCGCCCAGCTCCATGTGCATGCGCTTCACGCTGTCGGCGGTGTTGGCAATGATGTTCGCGCCGGTGGCGATCGAACCGGTCAGCGACACCATGCGCACTTTCGGGTGCTGCACCAGCGGGCTACCTACGGTCGGGCCGCGGCCAAATACCAGGTTGAGCACGCCGGCCGGGAAGATTTCCGACGCCAGTTCCACCATGCGCAATGCCGTCAGTGGGGTTTGTTCCGACGGTTTGAGCACCACGGTATTACCGGCGGCCAGGGCCGGGGCGATTTTCCAGGCGACCATCATCAGCGGGTAGTTCCACGGTGCGATGGACGCGATCACGCCCACAGGATCGCGGCGGATCATTGAGGTATGGCCGGGCAAGTACTCGCCGCCGGCCGAACCGCTCATGCAGCGACTGGCACCGGCAAAGAAGCGGAACACGTCGGCAATCGCCGGGATCTCGTCATTCAGCGCGGCGCTGTAGGGTTTGCCGCAGTTGTCCGACTCCAGCTTGGCCAGTTCTTCACCGTGGGCTTCGATGGCGTCCGCCAATTTGAGCAGCAACAGCGAGCGGTCTTTGGGCGCGGTTTGCGACCAGCTTTCGAACGCGGCATCGGCGGCGCGCACGGCGGCGTCGACCTGGGCTTCGCTGGCTTCGTTGATTTCCACCAGCACACGGCCCAGGGCCGGGTTGAACACCGCTTGTGCCGGGCCTTCGCCTTGTACCAGTTGGCCGTTGATCAACAGTTTGGTTTGCATGATTGAGTCCTCCAAAAAACGCGTGTTATTTCCCTGAAGAAACCGGATTTAAATGTGGGAGGGGGCTTGCCCCCGATGCCAGTGGTTCAGTGACAGCTGTGTTGGCTGTCACACCGCTATCGGGGGCAAGCCCCCTCCCACATTTGAACCGCGTTCCTTCAGTGGCAAGTTATTTACCGCCGCTCCCCGCCACGCTTTCACCGCCGCGGGTCAAGTAATAGGCGCCCAGGATCGGGAACATCGTCACCAGCATCACCAGCATCGCCACCACGTTGGTCACCGGCACATCCCGTGGCCGGCTCAACTGGTTGAGCAGCCACAGCGGCAAGGTGCGCTCATGCCCGGCGGTGAAGGTGGTGACGATGATTTCGTCGAACGACAGCGCAAACGCGAGCATGCCGCCGGCCAGCAGCGCCGAGCCCAGGTTGGGCATGATGATGTAGCGGAAGGTCTGCCAGCCGTCGGCGCCTAGGTCCATCGACGCCTCGATCAGGCTGTGGGAGGTGCGGCGCAAGCGGGCGATGACGTTGTTGTAGACGATCACCACACAAAAGGTGGCGTGGCCGACGATGATGGTGAACATCCCCGGCTCGATGCCCAGGGTCTTGAACGTTGCCAGCAACGCGATACCGGTGATGATCCCCGGCAATGCAATCGGCAGGATCAGCATCAGCGACACGCCCTGTTTGCCGAAGAACTCACGCCGGTACAGCGCCGCGGAAGCCAGTGTGCCGAGCACCATAGCGATCAGGGTGCGATGGCGGCGATCTGCAGCGACAACTTGATCGCTTCCAATACGTCGGGCCGTGCGAACGCCACGCTGAACCACTTCAGGGTGAAGCCCTGGGGTGGGAAGCTGAACGCCGCTTCTTCGGTGTTGAAGGCGTAGAGGAAGATGATCAGGATCGGGAAGTGCAGGAACACCAGGCCGCCCCAGGCGGCTATGCGCAAACCGAGAGATGCTTTTTCAGAGTGCATCGAAGGCCCCCAGGCGTTTGACGATGGACAGGTAAATCGCGATCAGCACGATCGGCACCAGGGTGAACGCCGCCGCCATGGGCATATTGCCGATGGCGCCTTGCTGGGCGTACACCATGCCGCCGACGAAGTAGCCCGGCGGGCCCACCAGTTGCGGCACGATAAAGTCGCCCAGGGTCAGCGAGAACGTAAAGATCGATCCGGCGGCGATCCCTGGCACCGACAGCGGCAAAATCACCTGCATAAAGGTCTGGCGCGGCTTGGCCCCCAGGTCGGCCGAGGCTTGCAGCAGCGACGGCGGCAAACGCTCCAGGGACGCCTGGATCGGCAGGATCATGAACGGCAGCCAGATATAGACGAACACCATGAACCGTCCTAAGTGCGAGGTGCTCAAGGTGCTGCCGCCGACGCCGGGAATGCCCAGCACAAAGTGCAGCAGCGGCTCCAACCCCAGGTGCTGCACAAACCACTGCGCCACGCCGCCCTTGGCCAGCAGCAACGTCCAGGCGTAAGCCTTGACGATGTAACTGGCCCACATCGGCATCATCACGGCGATATAGAAAAACGCCTTGGTTTTGCCAGTGGTGTAGCGCGCCATGTAATAGGCAATCGGGAAGGCGACGATGGCGCTGGCGATCGACACCACGATCGCCATGCTCAGCGTGCGCAGGATGATGTCGAAATTCGACGGCTGGAACAGCGCGGCGAAGTTGGCCAGGGTCAGGTCCGGGGTGACCGCCATGGTGAAGTCGTCGAAGGTGTAGAAGCCTTGCCATAGCAAGGTCAGCAACGAGCCCAGGTAGATAGCGCCGAACCAGATCAGCGGCGGCACCAGCAGCATCGCCAGGTATAGGTTGGGCTTGCGGTACAGCAGGTTGGAAAACCTGCGCATCGGCGGTTGTTGGGAAAGGGCCAGGCTCATGTCACACCTCGCCTGCGTTATCGGTCAACGGCGTCATGGCCTGTCGGGCCCAGCGCGCGGTTAGGGGCTGGCCGACCTGATGGGCGCTGCTGGTGTCCAGCCACTGGTTGTTGGCCTGGCTGATGCTCAGGGTCTGGCCGTTGTCCAGTTTCAGCTCAAAACGGGTGGCGCTGCCCTGGTACTGGATGTCATGCAGCACGCCGCTGATCTCCACATCGCCAGCGCCCAGCGGGCCTTCGGCAAACCGCACATGTTCCGGACGGATCGAAAACGGTTGGGCGCTGCCGCTCAAGCGCTGGGCCAGTTCGCCCCGAATCACGTTGGAGGTGCCGACGAATTCGGCGACGAACGCCGTGGCCGGTTTCATGTAGAGGTTGCGCGGGGTGTCGACCTGTTCGATACGGCCTTTGTTGAACACCGCCACGCGGTCGGACATGGACAGCGCTTCGGTCTGGTCGTGGGTCACGAAGATAAAGGTGATGCCGAGCTGGCGTTGCAGCTTTTTCAGCTCGCTTTGCATCTGCTCGCGCAGCTTGAGGTCGAGGGCGCCCAGGGGCTCGTCAAGCAACAGCACGCGCGGGCGATTGACCAGCGCGCGGGCCAGGGCCACCCGTTGGCGCTGGCCGCCGGAGAGTTGCACCGGTTTGCGTTCGCCGTAACCGCCCAAGGCCACCATGCCCAGGGCTTCTTCGGCGCGGTTGAGCCGTTCGGCCTTGCCCACGCCTTTGACCTTTAGGCCATAGGCCACGTTGTCGCGCACATTCATATGGGGGAACAGCGCGTAATCCTGGAACACGGTGTTCACATCGCGCTGATACGGCGGCAAGCCGGCGGCTTCCTCACCATGAATGCGGATCGAGCCGGCGCTGGGTTGTTCGAAGCCGGCGATCAGCCGCAGGCAGGTGGTCTTGCCCGAGCCGGAAGGGCCGAGCATGGAAAAGAACTCGCCGTCCTCAATATCGATGCAAACCCGGTCAACGGCTTTCACTTCGCCGAACTGACGGGAAACGTGGGTGAATTGGACTGCAAGCGTCATGGTGCGGTGCTCCAAAAAGGCGCGGGTCGTCGCAGCGGCCCGGCCTGGACTTCTGAAAAAACAAAACATCTGTGAGTGCGGTCAATGTGGGAGGGGGCTTGCCCCCGATACCAGTGGTTCAGTGAAAGCTGGGTTGGCTGTCACACCGCTATCGGGGGCAAGCCCCCTCCCACAGTAGGTCTATGCCGTCTTGATGGTTTTAACGGCCGCCCATGATCGCAATGTAGTCCTGGGTCCAGCGGCTGTACGGCACGAACTTGCCGCCTTCGGCCTGTGGGGTTTTCCAGAAGGCGATCTTGTCGAACTGGTCGAAGCCATTGG